GCCCCAGGTCCCTGGGACCACAGAGGCAGCATTGAGAAATGCTCCGGAAGCAGCTCCTCACGGTGTCAGCACGAGTCACCTAGAGTCACCACTTCCTCTGTCTCAAGGTCTAGCTTACCTCAGAAAGCAAGAGGCTGAGCGTGGCAAGGCTCAGCTGCCCAAGGTGTTATGAAATCCCCCACGTGAATTCCTTCATCCCACAACACCACAAGACAGGACTGTTCCATGAAACTGCTTCATGTCAAAGTCTGGTCTTTTCTACAAAATATTTTACTGTATCTTGTACCCAAGTGTAAACTTGCAAGGACCAGGGGATAAAACCCTGTAACTCTAACCCTGCAACTCTCAAGACATCATAAGGAGTCAACAGACCCTGTGCAAGGGCTCCATGGGTCTCCATCCCAGGTCAAACCCTGATTAAAGCTTTACAGGCAACTCCTCCTGTTTAGGTTTTTAAGTCTCATTCCTCATGTCAATCGCATCCTTGGGCCATGACTCAGTTTCAAACGGTAATTTCCTTCCCCTCCTGACAAAGGGCTGTTTCCCTGCCCACCAGCAGCTCATGCAATGTGCCCACCAAACAGCTATTTGCTGCTAATGGCTTCAAAGGAAGAAAGCTCCTTGCTCTCCACTCCTACTCAGGGAGCCTGGACAGTAGCTCCAGGGTCTACAGCCCCCTCCTGATCCCCTGTGTGGGGCTGCTCAGCATCCAGAGCAAGTTGAGGAGTGCCAAGGAGAGGGGTGGGAAGCAAAAATGCACCACTGTGTACTACTTCCGCAAAAACTTACCTTTCAAGGGCAGATTTAAAAGTCATTAAAAAGATAAAGCTTGGCAGAAGAAAGCCAGAGGCTTCTTCCCCATTCAAACATGCAGGAGGGGCTTCACACCTGGCATAAGCCTTAAACAAAATAAGGAATTCTGTTATCAGAGCAACGTGGAGTTGCACAGCGCTGCAGTGGGGAGCAACAAGAAAAGCAAAGGCCAGCACGGCTGAGCTGGAGGCAGCCCAGGGGATTTCAGTCTTGCAATGCCACCTCGTGGGAATCACTGCAACTCCTGCTGGGCTGGAATACAACAGGCACCCAAACAGGAGCTTTCCCAGCTAAGAAAGAGGAGCTTTAACGTCTTCCAACAACTCCCATGGTGTTATGGTGCTTTCCTCTGACTGAAACTCACTGTAACAACAAAATGTTTAATTTTGAGTCCTTCACAGGAGAAAAGGAGTTTTGCACAACTCAAGCTGACAGATCCAGACAGTGCTCCCTCCTACATCATGGGAACAGAGCTAAAACAAGAGCATTTTTGGGAAGGCATATCAAACATCCTGAAAATTTAACATGGCCCTACAACAACACCTTACTTAAGGCACTCAGATTAATTCTGACTATTAAACACGTTTGGCTGCTATTGTGTTTATAAAAGCATTGACATGGAATTTATCACTGCACTTCCAGAATTTAAACACATCCCAGCATTCACACAGTGAAAGGTGATTCTGCTCCGCTCAGGTGACACTTCACCTGCAGAGCTGCCTCCAGCTCTGGGGTCCTTAGCACAGGAAGAACATGGTGCCACTGGAGCAAGTCCAGAGGAGGCCATGGAGATGCTCTGAGGATTGGAGCAGCTCTGCCATGGAGACAAGCTGGGAGAGCTGGAGGTGTTCAGCCTAGAGAGGAAAAGGCTCTGGAGAGACCTTAGAGGGGCTCCCTGAGAGCTGAAGAGGGACTGGGGACAAGGCCCTGGAGGGACAGGAGAAGGGAGAATGGTTTCCCAGTGCCAGAGGGCAGGGTTGGATGAGATATTGGAAAGGAATTGTTCCCTGTGAGGGTGGGCAGGCCCTGCCACAGGGTGCCCAGAGCAGCTGTGGCTGTCCCTGGATCCCTGGGAGTGTTCAAGGCTGGATGGGGCTGGGAGCAACCTGGCATAGTGGAAGGTGCCCCTGCCCATGGCAGAGGGATGGAACAGGATAAGCTTTAAGGTCCCTTCCAATCCAAAACAGTCTGAGATTCTGTGATTAAACTGAAGTGCTCAAAGACCAGCCCTGCTTTCAAAAGGCAGCTGGAAAAGCACCACCACTGCAGGACACCTTCGCACTGGGACCAGAGTCCTCTCCGCAGGGCAAGTGCCTTCCACTGCAGCTCCCCAACCTGCCCATCTGCCCTTGTCATACTTGATTATTAAAAGTTTTATAACAAAGATGTGTGAAATCAGCAGGGGGATGGGGCAACAACACACTGACCTCCCCACCTGGGCCAGGTGTGCTGCTGTCACTGAACCACAACCACGGTGGCACAGCCAGGTCCAGCAGTGGCACCCTGCCCATCTCACTGCCTCTTCCCCTCTGGAATGGGCAGGAACCATATCCTGGCATCCCAGCTGCCCTCCCAGGACTCCTGAGCAGGGCTGAGGGCACTCACCACTCAGCTCCGGGGGAGGGCTCAGGTAGAACGTGCAGTAAATGTCATTGTGCATCTGCAGCTCTGCATTCATGGGCTTCTTCAGCAGGTCTGGGATCTTCTCCTCCTGGAAAGGAGTCTTTTCCAGGATGACTACAGCATCTGTGCCCTCTCCAGAGAGACCAATCCTCTGGAATACAAATGGATAAAGTCATCAGCAAACACAGATCCAGCACAGGGTGAACAGCCAGAGGTCAGGGATCATGGCAGACACCTTGTAACCCCCCAGTCCTTATGCCCAAACCCCCTTGCAGGCCAGACACCCATCCAAAAATAAAGAGCACATTTTCCCTGAAGCACAGCAGGAATTTGCTCCCCCATCAGGGAACACAGGTGGTTTTTGGGGGAGCAGGGGATGTGGGCAATGACTCAGCCCATCTGCACCTCCCCAGATGCTCCCAGGCTTCCTGCTGACCCACAGCACCAATTTCATCTTTGATGCATCCCACAAAGAGGGCAAAGGCAGGCACAGGGATTTTCATCATAGTCAGGGGCAAGTTCTGGGGCAGGAGGCACTTATTGCTGCCCTGCTCCAAGGAACCACAGCCCCTGATCCAGTGGCATCAGCACGCTGGTTTTGGGAGGTGCTGGGTGTGGAATATCCCCCAACATCACTCCTGTCTGTACAAAACCCAGGTGAGGCCTCACCACACCACCTGGGCAGAGCAGTGGGGCTCACCTGGGGCTCCCAACTCTGCCACCCCTGAGAAGGAAGATGTGTGCTAATGCCTTTACAAACAATTTGATGGATCTTAATGCCTCTTTGACTTTGAGCAGTTTAGCTCCTGGAAGAGATGAGGGTCTGCACAAGCCTGAACTTCTGAACTTTGGGGAAAATGTCAGGTTTAAGGAAGGATATGGGGTAGGTGGTTCAGGAAGGCTGTACCTTCCTGGTAGCTCAGCCGACAGGAAAAGGAAGAGGACAACCTGCAGCCAGGAGTTAGAATAAAAGGGAGGCTCTGAAACCTCGAGAGAAAACCCCATGGGCATGTGGCCCAGTGGACTCTGCCTTTATTCAAATAAAGTCAAAGAACTCCTCTATCTCCTTGTTGGACATAAACCTCTGGCGTTCATGGATTTTCCTGACACACTCACAGGGCAGAGCAGGAGGTCTGTGCCCAGTTCAGTCACTGCAGCAACCCACTGCCTCAAGACCAAAGAGTCCTGAGTCTTTCCTATCCCCATCTCCTGCTCGGATGCACATCTTCAGGAGACACGGGCCGAAGCAGGTGCATGGTTTCCACGCCATGCACAGATAATCTCAAGAATCCCAATTTGACAAATTCTCCTTTAATAGGTGTATTATTTACAGTCCCAGAGTCAGCATGCTGCTTGCAATCTATCGCCACTTTACCTACCAAGCACGAACAACCCCGCTTGAATCCAAAAGCACCGAATTATACCAACAAGAAAGAGGGTTGCAATGAGGTCTGCAGCCGCCAGCCTGGCCTGGTTTGGGCATCGCCAGGCTGGAGAAGCGGCTCGGGCCCAGGCAGGGATGAGCGGGGGGGGCCGGGGGCTGGCGGCACGTGCTGCCGGGGCGGGGCCTGCCCGGAGCGCGCCGCCGGGGCGGGGCCGTGCCCTCAGCGGGCAAAATGGCGGTGGGAGCTACCGCCCCCCCCCCCGGTACCTCCGCGTGCAGGAACACGATCTTGTCCCGCGCCGACTCCCGCAGGACGCGTCGCACCCGCAGGTCCGACAGCGTGAAGGCGGCGGTGGCGCCGCCTTGAGTGTCGGTCCCGCCATTTTTCTCCTCCTCCTCCTCCCGCTTCCTCTTCGGCTGCGGGCCCTCCGCCATGGCTCGCGCCCGCCCCCGCACTGCGCACGCGCGGTTCCTGAGGGCGCGCTGAGGAACCGCGCCCCCTGGCGGCTCGGAGGTCGCGCAGCCCCGCGCCTCCTCCCACAAACGCCCGAACCGCGGATTGAGACAAAAATACGGAAAAACACCAAAATTTAAAACTTCTGCATTTTCGTAGTCGCAACGATTCCGTGCAAAGTCACTGCCTGCCTCATCTTGTCCTGCCTACAGCCCAGCAGGCGCCTTGTCAGCTTAGTAGGGGTCCCGGAGCCCTCAGGACAGAGAATGCCAGCACAGTAGAGAGCTCTGGTGACCCTGAGAACACCCCAGTGTCAGAACTTAGTGTTTGTGTGATGGATGTCCATGTCCCCGTTGAGAAGATTTTGGCCACCAGGACGTGGTGGGTTCTGGTCTGCTGTCCCTCACAGATGTGGGGAACTCCCCATCCTTGTTTCCAGGTCTGCTCTGAGCAGCTCAGGATTGATCTCAAGGTCCAATGGGACATGCCAACACCCAGATCCAACGGTGACAGCTCCATGATGCCTGTGGGGATGCATCTGCCTGCTCCCAGCACTACTCCATCCTTTTTGTGGAGCTCTGGCACAGTTCCTGGAGGTCTGCAGAGACAGCAGATGAATTCCATCAGCAAACAATTACTCTAAAAATCAATTTTATTTAAAGTTATGGAACCTGGTCCCTTCCCATGGTCCTCATCCCAATAAGGACATTTCATCAGCCTCCCACAGGATACTCACAGCGCATGACAGTGTCTCTGATCTGCTTGAAGCTTTTCTCCTTCAGCGCCATGTAGATGTAGTAGATGTTCCGCAGCTCCCTGGGATAATCCTTGCGATCCACATCCTTCAGCACTGGGATGGTGCGTCCATTGGCCATCGGAGCCTCAGCCAAGGCCTGGTGCATCTGGTACCTGCACCAGGGGTCCTGCAGGAAGCCAGGGGTTATGAGCATGACCCAGCAGTGACTGTTCTGCACGGCGTCACACAGCTCTGTCACCACCGCACTTCCTGCCACCGCATCCCGCAGCTGGAGGAAGCAACGGAAGCTCTCAGGTTGGCTCTCCAGATAGGACACCAGCTCCTCCACCAGCTCCACGTCCCCCTCGCTGTGGCAGATGCAGACGTCGTAGCTCTTGTCCCACCGGGGACTGTCTGAGGCGCTGATGTCTGGTGCTGATACAGGCGACAGGGAGATGGAGCTGGTGGCCAAGCTCATGCCAGGAGAAGAGCTGGAGCTCTTGGTAGAGGATGAAGAGGAGGAAGGTGAGGATGAAGCAGAGTGGCTGGACTTGAGGCTTTCCACTGAGCTGGGCTTGGGCTTATGCAGGAACCGCCTAAACCAACCTGCAGAGTAAAGCCACAGTGAGTTTTGGGGGACTCAGCACCCCCTGGACTTCCCAAGCACAGCATCATTCAATCTGCAGGATGCCCCAAGATGGAAAGGGGTGGGTGGGATCTCACCTTAACCCCCAAAACCATCCTAGTCCCTAAAACCTGAGCTGCCACCAACACCTGAATTGCTGTGGCATCGTTGCCCATTGGCACTCTGGTGATCTGTTGGGGAGGGGATGCCATGAGGGAGGGGACAGAGCCAGAGGGTTTATTCTTAGACTCACTAGCCATAATGGGCAGCACGCTGCTCAGCCACCGATTGCCAGCAGGACACCTCTCCTGAGAGCAGAAAAGAGGGATAAAAACTGAGAGCAAGAACCGCTTCATGGCAGGTCTCAGCCCCAGGATCTCAGTGCGGTCTGGTTCCAGGGACCTGCACCTCTGGGATGCTCTCTTACAGCCCCAAAATCAACCCCAGCAGGGTTTTCTGCATCTGCCTCCTCAAAATGTGCTGGGAAGGAACATTTACCTTTTACTGGCTCTCTCCACTGGAGATACACACCTGCAGCAAGCAAGGCTGAGAGATAATAGGGAGGAGAAACCCTCATTCCCATCAGTAGGGAAAAGATCCTGTGGAGGAGAGAGGTTGGGATCACCAGGGATGGACTGGGTGCTGGCAAACCAAAGGCAGTGCAGGTGATGCCCGGAGCTGTGCATCCTTGGTGTGGTCTGCCCTGGCATTCCTGTCTGCTCCCTACCATCCCATGCTTCAGCATCGTGCTCCCAGCATGATTTAGGGAGCCCAGACACTCCCAGTGGACACCCAGGAGCAGCAAAATGGGAAACAGCTGCTGTTTTCCACTGTTGGCATTACCCCTTCCAAAATGAAGGGCCCCCGAGTCATGCTGAAGCCTTTCCCCTACTCAAAAACAGCACAGGACTGCAGGAAATGCCGGCAAAACCCCGGCACACCCACGGAAACCACAGTGCCCAAGTGTCACCACTTAGCAACAGCCAAAAGCTCAAGTGTGACTGGAACAATGAGCACGGACAGTGAGCAGTGGGGGGAAAGCTGGAGGGATGCTTACCTGGAATGCAGGAGTCCAGCACCGGAGCAGGGAATGGGATGCATCAGCCCCTGGGTTTGGTAAAGAAAGGTCTTCTGGGATTACCTGGGTGGGAAGGGACAGGTAGAATGCAGTATGTTCACCCTGCAGTCTAATGGGATCTGCAGTGAACAGCGAGGCTGATCCATCCTCGCAGCTTCCACATCCAGGAGCGGTTCCAATGAAGCTGCCTGGTGGAAATGAGGGCAGAGGGCAGGGGCACCCACCTGCCTCCCCAGGGACAGAGTGGAGGAGCTCCCCAAACACCCAGGCGCCCCCAGCTGCCAGCAGCTCCAGCCTCTTCTAGGGAATGTGAAAGCACAAGCAGGGTAAATGGGCTGGGACTGCAGGGAGGGGAAGCCAAGCCCTCCAAGGGCCTCCCTCCCACATCCACCACATGCCGTCACTGTCTGGGTGTCAGAGCGCCCAGCCCTCACCAGCACCCAGATCTGTTCTCCTCCCTGGTTTCCTGACTAAATATAGACAGGTCCATGTCTGCCACTCACCTATTTTACAAATTAAATTTACCTAACAGGTGATTTTTTTCACCCCAAAACTCCACAGTATTTCTCCTTTCCCAGGTCTCTTTCCCCTGGTGCTGCTGGTGGTGAACAACTGACACTGCCTTCATCTCATCATCATCCTCAACCCCTACAATGCCTGGTGGTTCCTCCCCAATGCCCTGTGAGAAATGAGCTTCAGGTGAGTCCTGGTTCCATCCCCCAGGAATCTGGAGGGTCTCCAGGACCTGCATACCCATCCAGCTCCCTAACAGGCTGTTCCTGGCACAGATTTCCCATCTCTCCCCTGCCTAGGGGACAACGCCAGGACCTCTGATGTGGACACTAAACCCTCCACCTGCTGCTGCAGTGTCAGTTTGGCCACACTGGTGGCCCAGCACACTGGAGGTGGATCCAGGAGGTGTCCCACACCCCGTGTGGCACCAGGAGGTGGGGGCCTGGGGATCCACCCCCAGTGCTGAATGTGTCCCTCCCTCTCCCATCCGAGTCCTTGCCCTGGATAACAGCAAAGCCCCTTGATCTCAGATCCCCAGAGAAGCTGGCCCTGGCACTCACACAGGAGCATCTCCAGAGTGAGCCCAGGGTGGAGCAGAGCACAAAGCTGGATCAGCATCTCCCTCACTGTTAACCTTGAAGCAGAGTGGTGGCCATCACACCCCCACTGTACCACAGCTCCAACTGTGGGGTCCCCAACCTGCAGGAGTTGGGCCAGAACCCACCTCTATCCCAGCAAGGAGAATCGCAGAATCCCAGAACAGTTTGGGTTGGAAGGGATCTTAAAGATCATCTTGTTCCAAGTCCCTGCCATGGGCAGGGGCACCTTTCAGTAGTCCAGATTACTCCAAGCACTGGCCTTTGAAAGCCTGGGCCTGGCAGATAGCCATGCTCACCTAACTCAAAGTGTTAATGGAGGGGGTGGTCTGCGTCCAGTGCCCATCACCCCCATTTCAGGACTGCTGCACCTGCCCCCAAAACATAACCCCAGTGTCCCTCATCTGCTTGCAAGCTGACTGGGACAACAACCCCCACACCCTCACCCCTGAAGGGAATATTTTTCTCAGGGAAAAGCCCCATGTCCTCTGACCCCCCAAAAATGTCCCCCCACCACATTTAACCTCAACACCTCAGGCCAGGGCTAGTCAAGACACCCCTTCATCAATGCCACCATGACCCAGCTGTGCCCCAGAGCTGAATCCACCTCCTTGTTCAGCACACTGCAGTTCGCTTCCTTACCCCCAGGGACCTTTGAGTCTTCTGGGAAGGAGGGCTTAAGGAGATTAAGGTCAGGAGACCCCCCAACACCCACCAGCACCTCTCAGGCTTTTGGGAACCCTATGCCTACACCACCACTGCGTCCCACAGGTCTTTGAAAACTGCTGTCAGCTACTGAGTGTTCCCTCATGCCACCACCTGGCTGTGGCTTTCACAGGTATTTCCATGTCTGTTCACCATCACCTTCAGCAAAACAACAGATCAGGGTACAATAGCACAAAACCACGTGAAATGGGGGAGGACCCCTGATGGCTTTTCCCCCTTGCCATAAACATCTCCCCATCCCCAAGGATTTCCCCAGACAGTCCATCTACGAGCCCTGGGAGGGGCACCTTGGGGGTGCAGGAGCAGGCACAATCCTCCCGCAGGGCCCTCAGCACAGCTTCAAAAACAGTGCTGAGTGCCAGAGGAACCACAGCCAGAATATGCCCAAAAATGCAATGAATTCTCTGAGAGACACTGGGCTCCTCCCCACCCCCTGCCACCACCTCAACTACCTTTCCACCAAGCAGGGGACATCAGCGCTGCCCCTTGGTGGCCAAATGCCAAAGGAAAAAGCCCAAAGCTGAGTAATGCTGAACCCCACAGGGACCCAAAGGCTACCTCCAGTCATCGGCCCAGCACCACTCATCTCACTGGGACCTGTTTTGCATTAGTCCTTGCACCAGCACTGCTGCCACCACCCCAAAAATCAACTCCCCACCCAAGAACAGGACCCAGAGGAGGGGGAGTCACCTGCAATCACCTCACCTGGAAACCCCAGAGCCGCCCCAGAGAGGGAACCTGAGGGAGAACCCACAAACCCAAGACCGCAAAAGACAGCGTCCTCTTGATCGACCTCCACCCTACCTCAGCAATAACATAATAATTATTAAAAGAGCAATTAAGGAGGCATTGCTCTATTCATAGCATGCCTTGACCCACCAGCAGCAGCACCACGCTGAAATCCCTGCAGCAGGAGTTTCAGGCTGCTTATCACCAGGAGCCTGAGGTTTACACGATTGCCTGCAGAACTAAGAAACGGTGAAGACCTGGTGCTGCAAGGCATGCTCAAACAAAAGTGGTTTTGGTAAAAAAACAAGGCTAATTTTATCCCTGAAAACGCTATGAATGTTTCATTTATGGTCCCAGTACAAAACAGTGCGCAGCTACCCAGAAAACAGAATCGTTTTTCTCTGGGAAGCTCCAACTACACCCAAATTCCACCACACATATACTTGAAGGCATCATAGCGGCCGTCCAGGCCCAGGCACCGCGTGTACCTCATGGGGCTGGAGACGCGGTCGCACATACACGAACGCAGGCAGCGGCAGCTGGCGGAAGAGAGACCCCTGAGGGGTAGGGGGAGCACAGGGACACAGCCGGGCCCGGCGCGGCCCCGGGCCAAGCCAGAGGGTCTCACGCAGCCCCGCCTCCCGGGCCGCCACTGCGCCCCGCCTGCGCACGCGCCTTTTATACCTTCGCAAGCACCGCGAGAGTATCGCCGCGTACCCACGCCTGGCCCCGCCTCTTCCGCTGGGAGCCAATGACAGAGAGGGGCCGGAGGGGCGGGGCCAACTCTCCGCGAGGGGCGGGGCGTGGCCGGGCTCGAGGCGGCTGCGCGCGGCGCGGCGGCGTCTCCTCAATGGGGCCGCGCGCGCGGCGCCAGGTGCGTGCGGGGCGCGCGGGGGCGGGGGGGCGGGCAGGGCGCGGTTGCCATGGAGACAGCGGGGGGGAAGCTGTTGCCACAGCGACGGGGGCCGCCATAATGGGGGGGGTCCCATGGCCGCCGGCCTGAGGGACGGAGCGGCCTGAGGGGAGATCGGGGAGCCGGGAAACCTCTGACAGCGGCGGGCGGCCCGGCTGTGACTCCTGCCGCGCCATCGCCCTCTATAAAAGCTCGTTTTCATTGATGTTTCCCCTTGGGAAAGGAGCCTCGGTCTTCTCCCCGCCTGCTGAATCCCCGTGTTGTTGCTTTTTCCGCAGGTTTAGCGAGGAGGGCACAACGGAGAGGACAGGTAAGGGCTCGAGCAACCCCGAAGGTGTGACCCCCCCTCTCCCTGCTTCCCTTTCCCGAGTCAGTCCTGGAAAGCCAGCGTGCTTCCGTGGGAGTCTGTGGGATCCAGAGCTCAGCCAGGCTTTGCTGTGTCACTCCCCCTCCTTCCTCATGGAGCACGTGGAGAATCACAGCGTTGAATAAAAACCTCTGGTGTGTTTTGACTCGCATCCAAGGAGGCTGAATCCTGTGTTTCTGTGGCTTGGACAGGAGCAGGGCTTATCCTCGGTCCCATTGTCCCTGGAGAATGTGTGTTTCTAGGATGGTTGTGATCCAGCTCCAGTGCAGCTCCCACATGGACGGATAGGCTTGGGAATTGGCCAGGGACAGCTCAGCTTGTAGCTGAAACACAGTGATTTTTAAACTATCTTATCCCAACACCTTAAAGCCACTGAATTGAGAAGGAAGCTGGGAATTACATCCTTGCTGGTGGCAGTTCACAGCACTCAAAGTTAAAAATGGATGAGCAGTAGGTTTGTGCTTGTTTCTTTGCCCATCTTCCAGCGTGGAGCTGGATCATTTGGCTTCAATTTTAAACATCTGGGTATAGGTTTAGTTGCGTGTTGGGTGCTGAGCATGGAGATGGTGTCAGTAGCAACTTCTCCATCAAGTGGGGGAGAAAATGTTCCATTAATTCCCCATTTTGATTCTGCAGGTTGGACTCTGGTGTTGACTGTGTGGTGTGGTTGTGTTTTGCAGAGAGGTTTATGTAAATACACACCCTGTGTGAACCTCGGCCTTTTTTTGACACACATAGTGTTCAAGTGTTTGCTTTTACCTGGGATACACCTTTGTATTTCCAACGTTTCTGCAGCTGGATATGTCTGTGTCACACAGGGAGTTGGGTTTACCCAGTTTTGGTGACTTGGGCACAGTTTAAAGCTGAAATCTGGAAGGCTTTAGGATAAATTAAGGGATTTCTGTGGTGTGGAGGAAGAAAGAGAATGCAGCAATCCCACATTAGTATCCCTGATAAAAGTGATGGAGACAAGGCTGGGACAGGGGAACGGGGCAGCTGAGCCAGGAATCCATAGAGTGTTGTGTTTACAGTCTTCAGCTCCCTGCAGTCTAAATAGTTGGAAAGTTCCCAATGTCTGAAGAAGGCTGGAGAGACATTTCTTATCTTGTGCCTGTGGCTCCCTCTCCTCCGTGGTACCTGTGTTCCCAGGGGGAGCCTGCACTACCTGGTGTGCTTTTTTCCTGTGGCAGGGTCATGCTCTGATGTAATTCCATTTAATTTTGGCTACCTCAGCTGTGCCAGTGTGATCCATCCCCCTGGGGAGCAGAGCTTCTTCCCAGGACTGAAAACCAGAGGTTTCTATTTCTTGGCTGAATCCCCATGAATTCTTTTTAAGACCAGTAATAACTTTTTTGGAACTAGGCCGTATTTATAATGGGGTTTTTGTTCCTTTATGGCTCTTTGCACTAAACCTAAAGGTTGAAGGTCATTATATCAGAAAAACTTACAAGGTGATTATAATTCCAAGAGGTGTTTTTCCCTAAGTTTAAAATTACTTTTGAAATGTCATTTAGAGGCACTTAAAATTGATTTGATGGCTCCAATCCTGCTGTTAATAGCATGGGAATGTGCAGGGTGAGCGAGATGGGAGCAGTGCTGAAGCAGGTAGAAGCAAACAGGGGAGTTCCTAGGTGGGAGTTTACAAACAGCCTCGATATTCAAGGCTCAGCTGATGATTCACAACACAAAGATAATATAAGCTTAAATTATATCCAGTTTAGAAAATGAGGAAGTATTTAACTTCCTGTAGCTCTGCTGCTGCAGAGGGGCCGAGGGCAGACCCAACACCAGCAGAAATTCAAACTTCCCTCTGAAACACTCCAGTTATCTATTGTTAGTCCCTGGCTCGTCTAAGGCATTTTTGCACCACTAAATAAAATCTGGCTGGCTTTGTGGAAGTAGCCTGCCCTTCCAGAAAAATCAGCTAATCCAAAAGGAGGGATGGGACCCTCCTGGGAAGGAAAAAGAGGGTTTTCCTCCCCCTTTATCCTGACCGTGCTTGGCTGCATTCACTCAGCTGGGATTTGAGAGTGAATCTGACAGATCCTGTGTCCAGCAGGTCCTCCTGTCTTCCTGAGAGTCACAGCTTTGGTCTGTGCAGATGTAACCCCCCAAAACAGTTCACCATGAGGCCTGACAGGTTGCAGGTGTTTAGAAGTGATGAGGCTGTAGAGGTTCATTGTCAGAACAGCACTGAAGTGTTCCAGGGCTCAGGGTTGGAAAAATACAGAGTACAATGTTCACAAGAGTGTGTGATGCAGAAGCCCTGCTTGGCATGCACAGAGTCAGGAAAACCAGATTTCTCACTTGCTAAAGACCTTTGTCCAAAATCTGGGCCCTACAGTAAGGCCCAGTAAGATAAAAAGGTGATTAATTGAAGTGATGTGTTCAGTAATGTTTCAGGAGGTAGATGGTGAAAACCAGCTCTCTGAGGTGTTCTCCTGTTGTTACAAGGTTTTGTTACTGAGCAGCCTGGTGTGGTGGAAAGTGTCCCTGCCCACGGCAGGGGTGGAACAACTTGAGCTTTTAAGGTCCTGTCCAGCCCAAACCATTCCATAATGCCATTGTATAAAGTTTTCCAAAGGGGTCAGAAGGTAAAGGCTGCACACACATCGTGTCTGGCAGTGTCACTTTGCCCTGTTCTCATCATCCAGCACTGAAAGGTGGTGGTTTCCTAGAACATTGGCTGATTTCTCACATCATCCATGCCAACATTTGCAGCACAGCTGAGGTGTCCTGCCTGGAGAGACCTGCCCATTGTCACCTGCTGTGCTGCTGGGGAGCAATCACAGCATCTCATCTCTAGGACAAGCCCTCAGATCTCCCTGAGATGGAAAAACCTGCAAAAACTCTGTGATTTTTGGGTCAGCAACTCTTCCTCAGCATTTCCTCTGGCCAAAAGCCTTTGTTTAACAGAGTTTTTGCTGGACTCTTCATGACAATTGGCAAGGAAAAAGCAGAGAAGGGTGAACAGTTCTGTTAATTTTCATTCCCTTTTCATAGACTTATTTGGGAGAAGCAGAGTGGGAGAGGACTGCGTGCTGGCAGAGCTTTTGTATTTTATGTCACAGGCTGTTGAAAGAGTTCTCAAATTGCACTTCCTTTCCGTGGGCTTTAAGGTCATTTCCCAGTGCTTGCAGATGCATGGCGGGCTGGGAAACCCTTCTCTCATCACCAGGGAATGAAATGCTCTCCCTGGTTTTTTGGAGCCAACAAAAATCTCTTTGTCTTCTCTTCCCTCCCACTGTTTCCCAAGCAGCAAGTTTGCTGACAGGCCTTGATGGGAAGGGGGGAGTGCAGCTCCAAGATCCAGGCTTTCTGGGAAAATGAGCAGCTGAGGGGAAATGAAGGGTCTGGCAAACTGTGTTCTGCTGAGGCAATCACACCTGGGCAAAACAGCCAAGGATTTTATGGTAAAAGAGGTTAAGAAAGTGGATGAGACTGTGGGACAAAGTTCAGAGACAAAAACATGCAATTCTCAGCCCAGAGGTGATCTTGGAGTGATAACAAACCTGGGATTTATCCACCAGTGCAAAGCTGGTTCTGTAAAACCTTGTTGTCCATGTGCAGTGACTTTGCTTGTGGTGATTTGTCTACTATAGAAACTGGATGGCTTCTACGGTGAGCCTGGGCAAGGAAACATTATTGGAAGATGGAATGCCACCTGCAAAAAAGCCCAGGTAAATTTAATTACACTCCAGTGCATTTGTTCTAACAAGAGCCTTTTCCTTTGCCTCGCATTGTTCTTTAAGGATTGTGACCCCTGGCACCTGCAGCTGTTTCGCTTCCTGATCCAAGAACGGCGCACTGGCTTCTGGCCATGCCCTGGGCTTTCCTGCTGTTTGTAGAACAAGCACCTTCACACCCAGAATGTACTTTTTTGGGGTTTTAACCCTCAGCCAGGGGATGGGGTTGCACTCAGAGCTGTATTTTACTGTTCTGTCTCCATGGTCCTGTCCACTCACAGTGTCAGGGTGGTTATGCTTCTTTGCTTGAATGGTGGTTTCCAGGAGGATGGGGAGTTACTCAAATTAGTATGATTGAACTGCATGTAAAGGCTAAATAGTTCACTCTGAGGCTCCCTGTGCTTAGAAGTAGCTGGTATTACAGTTCCGTGAGTGGGGACCTGACTGGTGAATAATTCTGTCTGTCTGAGACCGAGACTGTGGCTGTTGCAAGCTCAAATGTTCTTGTGAACAAGCAGCTAATTCATCTGGGGGTTATCTCCCACTAATTTGATTTATTTGCAGGTTCTGGAGGGCTGCAGGATAGTTCTGTATGGTCTTGAGGTTGATCAGTAATCCTGGAATGTGCAGAAAAGACACTGGGAGATGATTTCTTTCCTTGCTCAGGATATCAGGATAGAAACAAGTGCATTTATTAGCAGGGAACAGAATGCCTCTTTCAGGCATGCAGGACATTAAGACTTAGGTATTCGTTATTACTTTGGATTTCAGTCCCTGTATTTCCAATAGTGTTTTTATATTAGTTCATTAGCATGAATACTAATTTATTCCTCACACAAGGCTTGCAGTCCTCAAATGAAACCCCATTTATTAGCAGTAACAGTGAAGCCCTCCTCAAGGGAAGGGTTAACAAGTCTGTTTTCATAGGCAGGAGCTGAGGGAAGGCACAGTTCCATCTGTGTGGTGTTGGTTTCCTCTCCCCTTCTCACTAAATATCACGTGTTTGCTGATAAAGCCCATTTCTTCCATACAAGCTGCTTCCCTGGGCTGCTGCTCCAGCCCTGTGAAGCTGCAGCAGGTCCTTGCTGCAGAAAGCAGCTGGACACCAGGCAAGGAAAGGCAAGGAGCAGCACATCTGCTTAATAAATTATAAAGGTCACGTTTAAAAGCACTGTGCAGGTGTAAAGCCAGGAAAATTGGGAGGAGGGGAGGGGAGGAATAAAGAGAATCCAGCCCTGCAGCCCTTTCATGTGACTCTGTATCATCTGGGATATTCCAAAGGATTGGCCTACAGCATCCTGCTGACATTGCAGGCATCACAGAGAAGGGATTGCTGGTACAGCTGAGGGGTTCCTCAACAAACGAGGGCTGGGCACCTTCAGGACAGAGCTAGGAGGAAGTCTTCCTTTCCTTTTCTCTGTGATGGGATAAATGGAGATATTGTCTCCAGGCCCCTGTTCTGTACCTTGTTTAAACCAGGTTTCATTTCCAGCCTGCACAGGATCCGATGCATGTTTTGTCTCGGGACATAGAGCATGTGTGTGTCTCATTCTCTAGCGCTCACCACACCTTTCCCATGCCCTCCAGCCTTCCAGGTAACCTTTATTAATAGACTTCCCTTATTCCAGATTTGTAATGGACCAGTTTTGCTGCAGAAGCACCCCAGAGCATCACTGACTTCCCCAGTAACCATCCTGGTAACAGATTTGATTCCCAAAAATGTTGTAATTATGGACCTTGCATTTGGAGCATTTGTGCTGCTGATCCACGCAGCTGCCTGATGTCTTTTAAGGGTACCAAGCTGCTGTTTATCAGAGAGCCCCAATGGATATTTGATTCAAAATTTAGGCACAGGCTACCTCCCTGTCCCTCAGTCTGTGTGTGGCACCACCCCAGACACCCTTCCACTCATGGTGGTACCAGTTGTGCTCCTTTCTCCTTTTGCAGGAAGCTGTTGCCAAGCCTCAAAACCAAGAAGCCTCGGGAACTTGTATTGGTGATTGGGACAGGAATTAGTGCTGCAGTTGCTCCCCAGGTCCCAGCACTGAAGTCCTGGAAGGGGCTGATTCAGGCCCTCCTGGATGCTGCTATTGACTTTGATCTCCTGGAAGATGAAGAGAGCAAACGATTCCAGAAGTGTCTTCATGAAGACAAGAATCTGGTTCATGTTGCCCACGACCTTATTCAGAAGCTGTCTCCGGTCAGTGTGCTTGATCTGGGCATAGGATTTGGCTTTTGGAAATAGCCAGGTTTGGTTCTCCAGCAATGGTGCCCCCATCCCAACAATTCCTTTAAGTACAGGGAACCCCAATGCAGTTACTGTGCCAGGTGCCTGAGACATAAACCTGCTGTGGATGTGGTTTTTTGGTATTGCACCTGGACCAAGATGATTAAAGGGATGGAGTACATTCCTATGAGGAAAGGCTGAGAGAACTGGGATTGTTAAACCTGGAGAAGAAGGCTTGACCTAATTGTGGCCTTCCAATACCTGAAGGGAGCTGACAAGAAAGATGGAGAGAGACTGTGGACAAGGACCTGGAGTGACAGGACAATGGGGAATGGCTTCACACTGCCAGAGGGCCGGGTTAGATGGGATACTGGGAAGAAATTCTTCCCTGTGAGGGTGGTAAGATTGCCCAGAGAAGCTGTGGCTGTCCCATCCATGGGAGTGTTCCAGGGTGGAGAGGCCTGGAACAACCTGGGATAGTGGAAGGTGCCCCTGCCCATGGCACAGGGTCATATGTGCCGAGATAAAACATGCTGTTTAGAGCCATAGAGTGGGCTTGAAGCTGCTTCCCAACCCAAACCAGTCTGGGATTCTGTGATCCTATGACTGTGCTGAAGGAGAGCACCTACTCTGGTGCAGCCCTGCAAGGACCCAGAGCTTTGCAGGGTGCTGGGGAAACGTGGGTAGTTTTTCATGGAGTCATTTGGCATGAGATGTTAAGGGGCTGGGCTTTGATCTCAATCTGTCTCCCCTTCTCAGCGCACAAGCAACGTTCGCTCAACCTTTTTCAAGGACTGTTTATATGAGGTGTTTGATGACCTGGAATCCAAAATGGAAGATTCTGGGAAGCAGCTGCTTCAGTCTGTACTTCACTTGATGGAAAACGGGGCCCTTGTGTTAACCACAAACTTTGATAACCTGCTGGAGCTGTATGCAGCACACCAGGGGAAGCACCTTGAGTCTCTTGACCTGACTGATGAAAAGAAGGTAAAATATTATTATTTCTTTTGTCAGGGACTGTGGTGGTGCAGGATGTGCTCTCATGCTGCCTGAGGGTATTGTACTGATTGTAGTGGTTTAACTGGTGGCAGACAAGCTCCAGGCAGAGGCTCTGACTATCCAGGGCAGCAAGCAGAGGAATGAGGAGGAACGCTCCTTTCTGGAACGCTGGTTTGCTGGCTGCCATCCAGTGCTCAGGAGGAGTCCTTAAGCCTGCTATTCCTTTGATCTCTGTCCTTGAAACTTCAGGCTTGGCCTTGCTTCCACATAAGGCTCGGGTTGATGTTTCTAACAAGTATGGGAAATTCCACACGAGATGCAAAGCTGAATTTTTTATTTTTATAAGGTGCTGCAAAGTGCTTTTTGTGATGGGTCTTTTTGTGAGGGCTACAGCCTTCGAGGCTTCCCTCTTGCCCCATGTCCTCTTCCCTGCAATGGCTGGAATGGCTCCTTCTGTTGCACTCTCAGAGCTGCTCTCTTCATGCCAACATCCCTCCTCCTGCCCCAGTCAGGCTGTGAAACCCTGCCCACCTCATCTCTCCATTGAGGGTTTTACTGGTGGGGAGCATCTCATCCTTCTGATTGCATGTTAAACACCCCCAGTGTGCGTGTCTTGTGCAGTCCTTGCTCTCTTTTCATTCTCATTTCTGTGCCGCACATTTCCTGTGTGACCTCTTAATCTACATGGCTGGAAGTACTTACAGTGTTACAAATAAGCATTCTAATTATTGCAAGCTTAAATGAGCTGAGGTCTGCAGGAGTAAACTGAGAGCCTCGGAAGCTGTCTGAAATGGAGGTCAGCTCAGCTGGTGACTCCCTCAGAGCTAGTAGGGGCCACAAAACAAAACTTGGTAGGCATGAGAAACATGCTGACGTAGGATTTGTAGGTTTTTTTCCCCTTTTTCTGGTCAATCTGGCATTTTGATTCAGTCTTCTCATCACATTCACCAGTCAGATGAATTGTTGACCCAAATGAGCAGCACAGGCTGTGGCTGCAGGCCATAGTGTAGAGGCTGATGGTGGAGAGAAGATGAGGAAGAAGCAGCCTCTTCGGACCGCTTCTCCAAAACGTTACATTTAGCAGTGCTGTGGTAGCCAATGTGATGCACTCACTGACATTGCTGTGTGTTTGTGTTGTGCAGGTGCTGGAGTGGGCACAAGAGAAGAGGAAGCTCAGTGTCCTGCACATCCACGGCGTCTACACCAACCCCAGCGGCATCGTCCTGCACCCGGCCGGCTACCAGAACGTTCTGCGCAACACCGAGGTCATGGTGAGCCACGCTGGGCCCAGCTCGTGCAGCTGCAGCTCCTACTGGGCCAACCTCACATAGGCTCAGCTGGGTTCAGACTGAGCTTCATAGAGGGTGGGGGAGAATTACATATGGGAGATAGGAGGGCTGAATTCCCTAGCCTGCTAAGGTGCTGGAACACTCCCACACTTGCTGAAGGATGGCACTGCTGCAGAGCCTCCCCAGGGATAGGGCAGGTGCTGTCTCTTGTGAGGATGAAGCTCACCTTGACCAGGAACATCTTTCCCTTTCTTAAAGCGAGAGATTCAGAAGCTGTATGAAAATAAGTCCTTCCTCTTCTTGGGCTGTGGTTGGACAGTTGATGACACCACGTTTCAGGCCCTGTTTTTAGAGGCTGTCAAGCACAAGTCAGACCTGGAGCACTTCATGCTGGTGCGAAGGGGGGATGTGGATGAGTTCAAGAAACTCCGTGAGAACATGCTGGACAAAGGGATCAAAGTGATTTCCTATGGAGACGAATACACTGACTTGCCGGAGTACTTTGAGCGGCTGACAAGCGAGATTGCCATGCGGGGCCGCACAGGTACCAGGGGCTGGGGGACCCTTGGCTGTCACCATGCAGAGTAGACAGGGTTCATAGCCCCTGTTCTCCATGCTATACAGAGACTCCTGGAGCCATTTTTTTTAAAAAGAGCAAAAGTGTCTCTAAGGGTAGCTGGATTTGTGGGTTGCTTTTCTGAAATCGCTGTATATTTTAACAGTTTAAACAGCTGTGCTGCTTCCCATGCCTGCAAACTTTGTTTTTCATGTGCAGCTGTTTGTTCCCTTTTTAGTGAAGGGGCATTTAGCGTCACTGACCCTCTTGCTGCTCAGCCTGAGCCAATGTTTATATACAAGAGGTATCACTAATAAATCATAAAAATGGGGAAAAGTGGGTTCACGGGCCAGAGCCTTGCTGGCAGGTATTCTGAGGGTTAGCCCAGCCAGGAAAGCCCGTGTGAAACCGCCACGTGGGCAGCTGGTTCTCCACCTGACACCGGTCTCTGCTCTGTCCCAGGTGTGCCCAAGGAGGGGCAGCAGCTGAACGGCTCTGCCGCTGCCCACGCCGAGGTAAAAGGTAAGGAATGCACTCTGGAGCTGCGAGGCTTCACCCTGTGTTGCTCTCTGGAGTCCCAGGGAGGTTTTCAGCCTTTGCTTCCACACAGGATGCAGCCCCTGAGCCTCAGCCCTGCCCAGGCCCTGAGCCGTGGCAGGGGCTCCTGGGGCAGGCCCAAGCCAGGCCCGCAGCCCTCAGAGGGGCCGGAACCCACCACTGTCCACTGCTGTCCAGCACCGAGCCAGGACCCTTCCGGCAGGGAAGAGGCCAGGACAGAGTCTCCATGGATGAACACCTGGTCTAACATAGTAATTGTGATTTTACTGGGGCTGCATGTGCCTGTGGAGCGCAGCGTCCCCCAGGGAGCTGCAGCCTCCTCTTAACTTCATACCTAGTGCTTTTATATTCTGTATTTCAATTAAAAAATGAAACTTGAGCTTTTTTTTTTTTTTACTGGAAGCTCTAGTTTTCTAGTCCTGTCTTTTTACTGTACAGTATTTTGTATGTTGAAGTTGTATTAAAGGCCTGCTCACTGAACTTTGGCTACTGTATAATTTAAAGGCCCTTTCACATTGGCGGGAGTTCATCTCCCCCAAACCCAGTAGGAAACAGGTCCTGGCTGGAGGCAAGTTATTTATACACAGAGAACAAATTATGAAGTTTATTTAATATAAATTATGTCTCTTAGCAGACAGCATTCAATTTATTGCACTATAGCACATCTGCAATACAGAGCTACAAGACATCGTCAGAGAGGTTTGTATTATTCAGTGTAGCACTTCCGACCGGGATCAAGAGGCACTCGGAGGGGGGACAAAGGGTGCAGGAAAGCAGCAAGCAGCCACCATTCTCTTCCAGTATTCATGTGGTTTGTTTTGTTTTTCCTTTTTACTAGCAAATAATGCCAAGACCAGTGGGTAGGAGCCAGGCAGGGCACGCTGCCTTCCTCCTCTGGACCTGGTTGCTGCAGCTCTCCAGCTCCTGCCCAAATCCATGGTGTCTGGGGACCCTGCTCCAGAGTCCGGTGAGGACAGATATGGGGGACTTTAAGGCAATTTAGCATGTCCCCTCCAGCCCAGCACAGGCCATCACCTTTTTTGGTTTATCAGCTTCAGTGGAGCTGCCATGGGCAGCGACATTAACAGCCAGATCTAATGCTGCCCCTAAGCCCAAGTCCCTCCTGTCTCCTCCCTAAGCTGGTCAAAAAATCAAAAGCAGCTCAAGAAAAAAGCCTTCAAACCCACCAAAAAGCACAGCAGATCCTGGCACAGCCCATCCCCCCCGTGCAGCACGAACAATACAAAGCTCTGGATTCGGCCTCCCCGCAAGGGAGCCTGCGTCACTGGACACGGAATGGAGGAACCCAGGGAAGGGCTTTTTCTGGATAAAAAGGGGGTTTATCCAAAAAAAGTACTCCTCATGCTGCTATTCCTCCATTCTGTTCTGCACTACACGGGAAAGACTAGTTGGTGACAGGGTAAAGCAGGTTCTTCTGGGACATCTGCACACAGCGATTTGGTGTTTAGGCCTTCATGAGCGCTGCGACCACGGCCTTGGCGTTAAGGCTTCGCAGATCACAGTAGGTTTGTCCGGTACCAACGAAAACGATGGGCTTGCTCGTGATGTAGGTCATGGAGATGGCGGCACCCACCTGCCGGGAACACACAGCACCATGAAATCCAGTGCTCCCCCTCAGGGAGCTCATCACTCACTCATCCCCCATGTGTGGAAACCAGACTTATAAATTAGGGTTCAATGGCTTAAATGCAAGAAGAAAGTGCAGGAGTGCCCTGTGTTTGACAATTCCCATCTCTCCCCTGCAGTCACCATCAGGAAGTTCTGTGCAGTCACCTCAGCAGCCTCCTTACCTTGTCATCGATGGTATCGAACTTGGTGAGGACGATGCCATCGATGAGCCGCGGTGTCTGGGCCATAGAGTGATCAGCCAGGGCCTTGTTGAACTTGACCTGAGGGAGAAAAAAGATCCAAGAAAAGCATTTGTGGTGCTGCCACCATCCAATTCTCAGGTAAAACCTACAGAAATGGGTTCTTTTCCCTCTTGGTCTCTCAGGAACAAAGCCTCCACACTCACCAGCTGATCCACAGCCTCGTTTCCCACCAGTGCTTCCCCAACAAACAGGACCAGGTCGGGAGCGTTGACAGCGATGAGTTTGGCCAGTGCTGTCATCAGGGGTGCGTTGTCCTGCATGCGTCCCGCCGTGTCCACCAGCACCACGTCAAAGCCCTGGTTCCGAGCTGGGGAAGGGAGGCGGCATGAAGGACGGTGCTGCCCCAGCACCGCGCCAGCCGCCCCCGGCTCTGCACATACCGTAGGAGATGGCCTCCATGGCGATGCCCGCAGCGTCCTTGCCGTATCCCTTCTCGTAGAGCTGCACCATGGTGCGCCCGCCGTGGCTCTCCGGAGGGTGCAGCGCGTTGAGGCGGCGCGTGTGGGTGCGCAGCTGCTCCACCGCTCCCGCCCGGAACGTGTCGCAGGCGGCAATGAGGACGCTGAAGCCGTTCTCGATGAGCCAGAACGAGATCTGCAGGTGGCAACAGATCAGAAAAGCCCGTGAGTAGCTGCACAGCCTGACCCCATCACCCCGGTCCTGTGATCAGGATCCTGTCCTGCCTTGGCCAGGTTGGTGGACTTCCCAACACCGTTGACACCACAGAAGGTTACGACGTAGGGCCGGCGATGGCGCTGGGCATCCATGACATCACGGAGCACATCCACACGGCGCTGGGGCTGCAGGATCTGCACCAGGGCCTCCTGCAGCGCCTGCTTCACTGTCGAGGTTACCGCTGGGAAAAGGGGACAGAAAGAGGACATGTCACACATGGGGAATATTCCTGAGCTCCAAACCACAGGCAGGATGCCACCTGGACACTTACTGGTGAACGTTCCCATCACTTTCCCTTCCAGTTTCTTGGCCACAGATTCACAGAGCTGCACTGCAATCTCAGCTGCCACATTTTTAGCTTTGAGGAAGACAGAGCAGGGAGTCAGTGCTGCTGAGAAGGTTATGAAAGTCTCACATCAGTGTCAAGGGAAGGATGGAGTTGGAGTGCAGGATTCCCACTAGACCTGACTGCTGCCCCCCTTTTGTCCAGGGCTCCCCAGGGGTGAGACAGGAACCCACCACAGTTCCTGTGAGCGAAAATATCCCAAACCATGGGCACTACCCACACTGGGGCCTACCCAACAGAGCACAGGGAACCGCCACTAATCCCTCATACCACAGATCCAGACGTACCAATCAAGTGATCCTTCATCTTCTCCAGCACAGGGTCCATGTCCTCTCTGGTCAAGCTCTTGGAACCCACCAGTCCTTTCAGCATGCCAAACATGCCCCCCAGGCCACCCTTCTTCACACTGTGGGGACACAGAAGAGTCACACTGAGGTTTGATCATCTGCAAAGATGGTTAGATGCAGAAGGGCTTTCCCTGAGCAGACAAACACATCAGTTTGTGCTTCCTGCATTACTGGTTAGACTGGAACAGGAGTTACAGGAGAGAAATCAAGAACCATGTGACAAACAAGGGCTGTGAGAGCCTCTTACCTGGGTTTTGAAGGGTTCTGGACAACTTTCTCCTCTTCAGCTTCATCATCACTCTCATACTCCAGGTCATAGAGGCGGCCAGGCTCCCGGTTTTTGTCCCCCAGGGCCTGTGAGGGGAAGAAGCAGCTTTATAGGCTGAGTGCCACGATCCTTGCTTCATGTTTCTTCATGATCCTTTCTCATCCAGGCACAGAGACTGGGCTGGGTTCATAATGCCCAGCTGATCCCAGAGAATGCACAACAGCAGATGGAGCCTGGCTTTTCCTTACCACGTCAGGGTCAAACTCCTCCACAGGACAAGCCTCCGCGCTGCCGTTGGTAGCGGAATTACTGTAATCAAGTACTTTGGCATTAGAGTTCCCCAGATCCCACACCCGGGGCTTCTTCCCCTTCTCCTTCTGTGCATCGGGTTTCGGAGATCTGGTGGAACAAAGACCAGAAACACACTGTGTTCAGTTCAGGGAAACAGCATCCTTCAGCTCCTCAGGAGATGTGAAAAATAAAAGCTTGGATTACCCAAAAAGGCAGAAATCGACCAATCCAGTCTCCAGAATTTATTTATCTGAACTTTAGCCCTGTATGGCATCCCTTCCCCTTAAGCCAGGTACCAATGCACTGCTGCTGTCTGCTCACTAAAGACAGGTCTGGACCTCTCCCAGGGTTTCTGGATCTCCCAAAAAGAGAAAATCAGGTTCTATTACCCCTCTAGGATGCCCAGGTGTCTCCTCCCAGTCTTTTTAGCAAGGAGGGAAATGAGGGAAATAATGCAGGGATTATTTCCAGGGGTCACCAAAAGGAGAGATTCAGCCATGACCTAGTTCAAAGCATAGGCAGACCTCATCACAGATGAGGGTGATGCCCTCATCACCTACCTGGACTTCTCCCCAGCTTTCATGTGTCTCCTGAAGAATTCCTCCCGGTTCTTCTGCAGGATTTCATCCTTGGTCAGTTCCTCCTTCTCCCCTGCTGCCGAGAGCTGCTTGTCACTCGCAGATGCTTTACTGGGCACTGCCACAGCTTCAGTTCCTGACAGGAAGAGCCCCAACACAAGCTCAGTCCAGCTCCAAGTGGATTGGGAAAGCACAGGCTGCAATACATTGCTCTGGAATATTTATTTCCCTTCCATTTATCTTCCCCATCAACTCACCATCCTTTTTGGAACCTTTGTTCTTCTTGTTCTTGACCTTCTCCTTTGGTTTCTCCCCTCGGGTTTCAATCATACACTTGACAGTCTTCTGGGATTTCAGAGACTGCTCAAATGTCTTCATTACCGTGGGAGCTCGGACTTTGCTGCTCTCCTCTGCATCCCTGCAAGGAGATGACCCATTAGCCTGGATTTCAGCTCTTCCCCCACTCCCATCTCTGCTCAAAACAGAAATTTAAGACAAAACTCAAGCTCTCTACCGAAGGAGGCGCATGAAGTCATCTTTAAAATCAAAGGTGCCATTTAGGAGGCCCAGGGCACCTTTCTGCTGGAACTCGTTGCGGTACTTGTCTCGGAACTCTTTATGGACATCGTCTATCAACTTGTCCACGTAGGTTAGAGTCAGGATCTTCTGGAAGCCCACCTGCCAAGGAACAGGTGCAGACACTGCACTTCCAGCTCACTCAACAGCAGCAAGCAAGCAAAAACCTCTCTGTTTAATTCAGAGTTCTTTAACTTGGGCAAGTTTCAGCCTGCACTTTCTGCTCCACCTTCCCAGGCTTTTTAAATGCTCCCAAAAAGGTGAAGAACAGCCAGAGCTTGGCTTCAACAGGTGTCCCTAACACACAGAGGCTGTCTCATGGCAAAAACGACACGTAGGGCAAGGGCAGAAAACCTTTAGCTTATCTGTGGGTCAACAAGGAAGGTCGTATAATAGATTTATGGCCGTAAGGTGCCAGGAAACTGCTAAAGAGAGTGTTAAATGTTCCGTAAAATGAAAGGAACGACACATTTCTGGCTTTTTTTCCAATA